CGCTTCTCAACACTGTTATGGCTTTGGCTTCTTTAGGCTGGCTAGGTAGCTTCCCCTTGTCTGAGTCTGCCTCCATGTTCCCCACTCTCGTAGCAAGCTGGCCCAACTGTGTCTCCAGGCGTTCGATGGATGCATCGGTGTTCAAGCCCCTTTGCTCACTGTTGGCCATAAACTGAAGAATCTTGTCCAGTTTGTCGTCCTGGTTTGCTGAATTGGAGCCGGTCCCTTGTGCTTGCATTCCTCCCATTGGGCCCCTCTGTTGCTGCTGCTGTTGAGGATAATTCGGTCTCATCTGGTTTTGGGGAATGAGGTTAGGGCGGGGTTGCTGCTGCATGAAGTTCTGCCGAGGTTGTTGCTGGGTGTTGTTGTTGTTGGACCACGAGAGGTTTGGGTGGTTTCTCCACCCCGGGTTGTATGTGTTGGAGTACGGGTCGTTGGCTAAACGGTTCGGGTAGCCCTGTAGAGCATTGGCATCTGCATATTGCTCACTGTAGTTAGGATCGAATGCCGAGGGGCACACCTCAGATCTGTGTCCTTGGACTCCACATGCTCCACATGCCTCCACAGCCATGGTCTGCATTGGTTGGCCTCCCCTTGCATTCAGTAGCCGCATCTGCTCCGTGAGCTCGGCTATCTGTTGTGCCATCATGTCTCGTCCGGGAGATACTTCATTGACAAAAGCCCTCTTCCCTCGACTGCTCTTTTGAGACGAGTTAGAACTCATCGCCTCAAAAATATCTATCATCTCTTCTGTCGTCTTCGCCCCGATATCTCCACCAGCTGCATTATCTACCATGTATTGAAGATTCTGGTGGAGGGAATCATAGAAACTGTTCACCAGTAAGGCCGGAGGGAAATTATGATGTGGGCACTGTCTCTGGAGGTCCTTGAAGCGCTCCCACGCCTCATGAAGTGGCTCGTTTGGCTGTTGGGCAAAAGAAACGATCTGGGACCGAAACTCCTGCGTCTTCTGATGAGAGTAGTATTTCCCAATGAACTTGGTGTACACTTGCTCCCAAGTGATGAGGGAGTCGGGAGCAAGTGTCATAAACCAAGCCTTTGCTCGGTCCTTGAGCGTCTCGGGGAAACACCTCATCTTCAGCTGGTCCTCATTTAAGTTGTGGAGCGGAAAAGTCTGGAGGACATTGTAGAATTCCCTGATGAAATGAAGTGGGTCCTCGTTTGGTAGACCGTGGAAGGATGGTAGCTGATTGTAGTGGATGGTTTTTAGCTCATAGTTCCGAGCTGCTTGTCCCAGCCGGATACACGAAGTCACTGGCCCGATTATTGGTTGAGCCAACTCACGAAGAAGATGACGAGGTGGGTTGTTTACTTCCTCGTCAGCCATGTCTCCTTGGCTATCGGAGTCTCGGTTGGCTGAGTCTGAAGATGCAGGGGCAAGGTTAGCCAACAATTCTTGGAGGTCCCTCTGGATGGATTCGTTGTTCGGGATGATTACACGACCACTCCTGGTACGCATAAACAAAAACAACAAAAACGTCACGGGCACCAGATAGATAAGAAAGAGACAAAGAAAAACAAAACAAGAAAAACACTAGAACTAGTCAAGGAAAACGAAATAAAGAGAAACACACGAAACAAGAAATCACAAAAATAAGAGGAACACTGAAAACAAAATGAATAGGCGCACAAAATAAGTCCTAAACCTTCCCCGGCAACGACGCCATTTTGTTGTAATAATTTTTACCGGAGTAGAATCGAAAGATTCGAACACCGGGTCGTATCTCAAGGAAGGTCAGCCGGATTATCTTGTACGTACATTCAATCACAAAAAGAGAAATTAAATCCTAAACACTCTAATTCAATTGGTTGGATTTGATTATCAACTACGAGATTAACCACGAAAAATTCTCAAACAAGGCAATTCCGATCTCACCGCACAAAGCACAATTCAAATAATGATGAAAGGGACTAGGGTGTCGGAGACAATCGTTTCCGATTCTCAATACATTAAGTAACAATCAATCACTCGGCTAAAGACCACGAAATACTCACTCATTCAGAGATTCATTCTCAATAACTCACGTAACAAGAGAATAAACGTAAATGAACAATAATCGAATCAATTAGCACATAGACAATACGTCTCCGAACAAGTCTATTCTAAACGAGCCTAGATCGATTAATTCCTCCCCTTTCGGTTCTAAGAATCGATTTAGTGGATTTAAATGGTGATCAATCAATTCAATCCTAGGTTTAACACAAATCGAATAGATTGAGCAATTCAATAATCACACAAACGAAATTGAACCGGAACAATTATCCCTTAGCCCTAGTTAACGAATTTAGCTACTCATCATCAATTCAACATCAACATCAATATCAATCAAAGCCATCATCATCATAGATAAAATGAAATAGAAAGCTTACGATTAAATATGAATCCAATGTCGAAAAACAAGGAACAATCCAAATCCACAAGTCGAATCTTGGTGTTTTCACAATCCAAGATCGAATTCCAATCAAAACTAAGAGAAAAATCAGTTCTGGAGTGAAAAATTACGAGAGAATAATAAAACCTAGAAGGAACCTCCCGAAAATCGAATATAAAATCCGTACTTATTTTTCTGCACGTCGCGACCTCCGCGGCCGCGGTGAAGGATTTTCGCGGCCATGACGATACCCGAGGCCGCGACATCTTCATGGCAGAAACGGAACTGTCGGGAACCTCGCGGCCGCGACCTCACCTCCGCGGCCGCGGTGAAGGATTTCCTGCACAGCAAAAACGTTCTCGGGTTCGTGTTCTCGCATCTGGACATGAAATTTAATCCCGTCTTTTCCAATTCGATCCCAACTCATCCATCTAGATGGTAATCCTTGCATGGTCACGCACCACGCTACCTATCCTGCACATCACCACCGACAAGAAATACGGAAAACCGGGAAAAACGAACAAAAAGACCAAAAACGACTAAAACAAGGAAATGCACGAAACGACTCAAAATGGACCAAGAACCAAAGAAAAATACCTAAAGAGGGGAAAAATAAGCATAAAATGACCAAGAAAAACATGACGAAAGTGGAAAGAACAAAATACACACACAAGTCATATATTAAACTATTATATATCATACAAATAAAATAAAAATAAAGTTAATATTAATATTAATGTTCAACACTATTTTTTATAGTAATCAATATTCGTTCACTACTTTAATTTATACAATTTATTATTATTGACTCGTGCATGGCATGAGCTATATAGTAGTAAATGCACTAGACATTTCATAATATGTACAGAACTTTTTCACTCACAAGGCCAGCAGGGGCGGAGCCATCCCAAAGGCTAGGGTGGCTCCAGTCCGGTCTTAATTTTTCAGTACATATAAATATATACTAGTAAATAATATTTTAGTCCATGTTATATTAGGCTAACCACAAATTAATCTTATTTTGGCCCAAAATAAATTATATTTATTTTAAATAAATCAATGAATTATATATTTGAAAATGGTTTAATCACTTTTCGCTTTTCCTTTTAGCCCACTATGTTGTTCTCGTCTTCTTTTTGTATTTATATTATATTTTAAGTTATATAAAATTTATTTGAATAATTTTAGTCGAGGCAATAATTATTTGTATCAGACTTCCACTGGAATATTTAGTATGCGGTTGAATTTATTGATTTTACAATTTAGTTGTATATTATTCTGATTTTTCAAAAAAATGGTATTTTAGTATATAAAAAAATTTAATACCAAGTCTCATTTATTTATATGGCATATTCAATGAAATGATATATGAACCTTAAATGACATGTCATACAACAAGAATAAAGCGATTAGTATACCGTCTCATGGCGGTCTTTTTAATAAATATATTATTTTTAAATTAAAATTCCAGTATATGAGAGAAAATATCATTGCATTTAAAAAATAATAATTAATTTTTTATAGTTCTAGTAGATTTGATGAGATTTTTTTAAAAGTTATGAATTGTCATATGTTTAAAAGAGTAGTTAATATTTCACAAGTTTTTTTAGGAGGTCCATAATTAATTGATTATTATTATACGAATACATCATTCATATTTTAATATTATTTAATGCATGATTCATGTAATTTATATTAATCTTTCAAAATTATTTTCATACTTTTTCTTTTATATATGTGTCTAGCTAGATTACTCGAGGCAAGTATTTCATGTTTAAACTCGTGTATATTTAATAAACGAGTTGTCATGACTCAATATGTTTAATAAACAAACAGAAATGTGAGCTCGAGTTCGGATTGTAAAAACCTGGTTCGACTCGTTTAATAAACTTTTAAATCTGGACCAAAATTCTAAATTCTAACCGAGTCAATCGCGAACACGTTCAACTCGACTTGTTTGATAAAAAAACTCAGTTAGTTGTTTGACTTTAGCTGGTTTAAATATATACAAGTGAGTCGAGTTCGACCTTTCGAAAGTCGAATCGAAACCAATAGTGCTGGTAAATTAAACGAGCCGAGCTCGAGCTCATTTAAATCGCATTTGGTTAACGAGTCGAGCTCGGCTCATTAATGCTTGAAAAGAAAATTTTTATATCATTTTCTATAGTTTAGCTCGTTATTAAAACTCGATATCGACTCGTTATTAATGATAAACGAGTCGAGCTTGAGCTCGATTTCAGGTTCATTTATTTAACGAGCATAGCTCGGCTCGGCTTGACTCGGCTCGTTAAGGAATCGTGCTCGAACTTGGCTTTACTCGACTCTCTTACAGGCTTAGTTACTGGATATTCGGTTTACATGTTTTGCAGTCCAGGGTGAAAAAAATCTTGACTACGCTCTGAAGGCATAAAACATAATCCAATACAATGATGTGGATTACCCAATTTCCACGAGTACTCGGTTACCCGATAGATAAAACCCAAGGCGAACCCAAGGGTGGTAAATGCATAACGGGCCGGGTACGAGTTTAACAAAAACCCGCACCCGACCCTATCCTTTACACATCTCTAGTTATTCTCAACACGCCTCTCAGATTTGAGAGCAAAACGCTTAAGTTAAACCCATAGAAAGTACAACCCTTAAACCCTAGGATCTCTTACTTCTAGACTCTTCGCTTAGGCTCATTTTAAGCATACCAACAACTGTCCTCTCGAATATTTTCCCCTGCAGTTCATACAGTTTCTTCCGAGACATTGCAGCATGTACCGCTTTGCAGCTAAGCTTGCCTCAAAAGCCAGGTAATCAAGAACTCTTCATGGAACTATTGCGTGTATGCTTTAACTGTTATGCTTGACTCTTCTTTTATTCAGGGGTCTAATTATAGATTCATTTTCCTTTATTGTGCAGGGTTGGTGGAAACAGCAGCCAACAGGTACTTTTTGAACAAAAAGACTTCAAATTTTCATTCCTAATGGATTTGGTTTTTCTGTTCTCAAATATACATGACATTGTTATGATTTATGTGTATTGGGATATGGGTTTTGGTGGTTGTTGCAGATTGGTAGTAGATTGGGTTGGAACAGAAACTATGCTGCAAAAGACATTAGATTTGGTGTGGATGCAAGGGCTCTGATGCTTAAGGGTGTTGAGGATCTTGCTGATGCTGTTAAAGTCACTATGGGTCCAAAGGTAACATTTTGCCACTGCTACTTCTTTTCTATTGTGTGTGTGTTTGTGATTGCGGTTGCACTTTACTTCATTTAAATAGTTTAAATTGACAATGTGATGTAAATGTCTGTAACTGCTTGGTCTCTTATTGGTTTATGTTTGATCTTCTATGCATTGCCAGTTATCGTGACGTCCATAGAACTTTTCTGGTGCTGTCCTTGGTTTGTGTTTAATTCTTCAATTTTTGTATATAGATTATGAAATAAGTAGTATTTATTGGTGATTTTTCTTCTTTTAGGGGCGTAATGTAGTGATTGAACAAAGTTGGGGTGCCCCTAAAGTGACAAAAGATGGTGTGACCGTTGCTAAAAGCATTGAGTTCAAGGACAAGGTTAAGAACATTGGTGCAAGCCTAGTGAAACAGGTCGCCAATGCAACAAACGATGTCGCTGGTGATGGTAAGTTGTAATTTAAAATTTGTAATAAATACATTTTATTTTTTATTTTTTTATCCTAAATGTGTGTTAATTGTGTGTTTCAGGTACTACCTGTGCCACTGTCCTCACTCGCGCAATATTCACTGAAGGCTGCAAGTCTGTGGCAGCTGGCATGAATGCCATGGACCTAAGACGTGGCATCACAATGGCTGTTGATGCAGTTGTTACAAACTTGAAAAGTAGAGCAAGAATGATTAGCACGTCCGAAGAGATTGCTCAGGTTTGTTTGTGGTGAACTTTATTCAAATAATGTCCATTAAGTGAAGATAGAGCAGTGTTTTAATGAGTGCCATGTGTCAAATCTGGAAGAGAATGAATGCTAGATTACTTTTTGAACTGATGCTAGATGTTTCACCTAGGAAAATGGGTATTCTATCCCGTTTCAACTGTTAGCTATCTAATTTGGTTGTGCATCTGTAGGTTGGAACAATTTCTGCTAATGGGGAAAGAGAAATTGGTGAGCTGATTGCAAAGGCTATGGAGAAAGTAGGGAAAGAGGGTGTTATCACAATTCAAGTATGTACACTATTCTTGATTTGTGTGATGAACTTAAGAATTATACCTTTTGAATGTTTTCTCATTCCTTTTACGATAACATTATTTCTCAATTTGCTAATTACAGAAATTATAGCCAAAAGCTTTGTATAGGCAAAGAGAGCATATTTTCGTTGTCCGTTTAAAAATTGAATGTTCATGCAGTAAGGGTTGTTAGACATTTTGCTTGAATGACGTATTTTGTTTTATTTCTCTAATTTGTTTTGAGTAGGCATCTTTATCATGTAAGGAAAGCTCCGTGATTGTACAAGCCTGCCAATATACTACATACTATTTCTAATATTTGCTTCCTATTCGACTTGTATGGTGCTTGTGTTCTTGATGTAGTGTATTGGTCATTTACTTTTTAATAAGACATGAATTTGGTGTTCGCAGGATGGAAAGACACTGTTTAATGAATTGGAAGTGGTTGAGGGGATGAAGCTTGACAGAGGTTATATATCTCCATACTTCATTACAAACCAGAAAAACCAGAAATGTGTAAGTCTTAATTGGCTGAATCGATCTATACTACCAACGAGTTTCTTGTATCTGATGCATGCCTGATCTAGTTGCTTTATCTTTGTCTGCAGGAACTGGATGACCCACTCATTCTAATCCATGAGAAGAAAATATCAAGCTTACATGCTATTGTGAAAGTTTTGGAATTAGCTTTGAAGGTATATAACATTAAGTTAATGAGCTTGGCTAAAGCAAATGCTTTTAGTTTTGAAACTACCAGCTCATTTACGCCATGCTTTAGTTGCTTTAGTGATTCCTATTTGTCTTTTATGTGTGCAGAGGCAAAGGCCTCTTTTGATAGTTTCGGAAGACGTTGAAAGTGAAGCCCTTGCAACTCTTATTGTTAACAAACTTCGAGCTGGAATTAAGGTATTTGGCTCCTTTTTCCTGAAGTTGGTGTTCTTTCTTTTCATTGGGTGATATTATTTCTCTGCCTGCGGCTTCACTGTTACTATTGACATTTAAATTTTACAATGCAGGTTTGTGCTGTGAAAGCACCCGGATTTGGTGAAAACAGGAAATCGAGTTTGCAAGATCTTGCTGTCTTAACTGGAGGCCAGGCAAGTGTTTTCAAACATGGTAACCTATTTGTGTTTCTCTTTCATTTTCACAGGTTATAAGTGAGGAACTCGGAATGAACCTTGAAGATATTGAATTGGATATGCTGGGCTCATGCAAAAAGGTTGGCTCAATTCTTACTTTGCCAATGCTTCGGCAGGGAAAGAAAAAAGAGATGTTATTTAAAGAGATTGCATCCAACCTTTTCTATGTGCTATTGGGTGTATTCTTTGTGCATTAACAGAAGGACTTAGACTTTTTCTTGCTGTTTCTAGGTTACTATATCTAAGGATGATACTGTTGTACTTGATGGTGCTGGTGAGAAGAAATCCATAGAAGAACGATGTGAACAGGTTGCCATTCCTTTCAACCATCGTATCTCTCTCTCTCTCTCTCTCTCTCTCTCTCTCTAAATTGTTTGTTACAACCTTGTCTTATGTCTATTTTTCTGTACAGATTAGGTCTGCAATTGAATTGAGTACTTCTGATTACGACAAGGAGAAGTTGCAAGAAAGGCTCGCAAAACTTTCTGGCGGTGTGGCTGTCCTCAAGGTCTGTTTTTATGTTCTCAACCCTCCAATTTCAGAGCAACGTGCATAGATCAGTACATTTATATGCCAAAAACAAATAAAAAATTAATAGGATAAGCTGATTTTTTTTTTTCCAGATTGGAGGTGCAAGTGAGGTTGAGGTAGGTGAGAAAAAGGACCGGGTGACTGATGCTCTAAATGCCACAAAAGCAGCTGTAGAAGAAGGAATTGTGCCTGGTATGTAAATAATAAAATTATCTACACAAATAAATATGTAGATAAATACAAAAAAAGTAAATAAATAAATATATTTAATGTTGTGCAGGTGGAGGTGTGGCCCTGCTATATGCCTCTAAAGAATTGGATAAGTTGCCGACTGCAAACTTCGATCAGAAGATTGGTGTGCAGATTATTCAGAATGCATTGCAGGCATGTTGCCACATTCTTAACTTACATTCACATCATAATTCTGTATAGATTATTAATTTGATTAAAGAGTTGTGTTTATATATGCAGACACCTGTTTACACTATTGCATCAAATGCCGGTGTTGAAGGTGCTGTTGTTGTGGGAAAGTTGTTGGAGTCGGACAACCCTGATCTTGGATATGACGCGGCCAAAGGTCAGTATATGCGTGTTTGTGAAAAATTTCTATAAAAATGATGATAAAGCAATTGAAATGAATTTTGTGATTTTGGATTTCTAATGTGCACTACATGTGAACAGGCGAATATGTGGATATGGTGAAAGCTGGAATTATTGACCCATTGAAAGTTATTAGGACTGCCCTTGTTGATGCTGCTAGGTAATAAGCATTATATGAGGAGTTCTTGTTGTTTCCTTCATGTTCCTTGAGATTCAGACGGATAGGGCTAATTTGGTAATTTTTTGTTTTGTAAAATTTTCAGCGTGTCGTCGTTGATGACAACTACAGAAGCAATTGTGGTGGAGTCCAAGGACGAGAAGGCGGCGGCCCCACCAATGGGTGACATGGACTACTGAGGAGAGCATGTGCTTTGAGGTTCTTTTTTGTAATGGATGAGTCAGTTGAGGGACCTAAGTTAATTCTATGTAATCATATTTGAGAATTCTATACAAATCCTTTTTTCTCTCTGTAGGATTAGGTCATTAACTGTTTTGAGAGAAGGGGACTTGCACTGTCTTTGATCAATGATTTTCTTTTCTGGTTGATTCAGAGTTATCAGTTTCCTAATTGTCCTGTATTTAAAGTTGAAGGCTGTTGGACATGTGAAAATTAAATAATGGGCCACCAAATCAAATTTACCATTTGTTCATTTGTTTGCTCTTCTTTGGACACTTGTTGCGGTCTCCTATTGTACTTTGTAGAATTTTGTGCCAGTTAGTCCTCGAACTTTGTATCTTT